GGTCTCAAAATACCTAAACAATCTGATTGGATGCAGGCATTGTTCAGGTATTTTAAGAGCCACCTGAGCCGACTAGCAAGATACTAAGGCTTGGCCCAGTGTGAGATTCCTCCATCCACACAGTTTAGCATAGATGGAGGAATCTGTTGCACTTTTTCCATCTGACCATAGAAAGTCTGCAGATAATCTATAGGTGCATGGCCAGCTTAATTCTTATGAGCTCTGGGGTTTAAGGGCAGTAGGCAGTAGGCACTGAATGAAGATTGAATGACAGAGGCTCAACAGACTGAAATAGTAGGGATCAGGATGACTGCACGTTTGCCAGGTATTCACAAAAGCTCCCCACAAGGAAAGAAGGGTTTCGTTTCAGGAGGGCCCTAACACAATTGTGCATGCAGAGCTGACTAAATACTTCAGTGATTACAAATATTTTAGGGAAGTGTGTAGCAGCAGTGGAAAACGGTTGCAATGCTAAGATTCTGGGTTTAGTAGCACACAAGGAAAAAGTCTGTTACAGCATTGCTGATTAGGAGCTCAGGATTAAGGATGGGCTCAGGCGTGTTTGCAGCTCCATGTGCCGAACCCACCAGGAAGCTGACAGCGCCAATCATGGGCACTGGGACATTTCCCGATCTCTGCAGCTGCGGATCGGGAAAATGCCTCAGTACCTGGGATTGGCGCTGCTGCGGCGCTGTCAGCTTTCCGGCCGGGCTTGGCACGTGGAGCTGCGAACACGCCCGAGCCCATCCTTACTCAGGATTTAGAGGAACACAGAAGAGGGAGGCCATACATGACAGTGGTTCAGGATACACTGGTCCACAGAAGAGTCTGTAACAGCACTGCTGATCTGGATACACAAAGCAGAATGATGCACAGAGGGAGCAGGCAGACAGAGAAATGCAGGCACACAGGACCTGGATAGTGGGAACTCACCGGCAGTGCATAGGTGCAGATGTGAAGGCAGCTCAGAATAGCATATGTGCAGATGGGAAGGCGGCTCAGAATAGCACACTGATGAATGGGATTCCAGCTCTCTTGGAGTATGAAGTGCGCACGTACGCAGCTACATAGGTTTACTCGGCTACATAGAATATAAATAAGCAGCCAGTGCTATTTGCTCTTCAGCAGAATACACTGGCAGCATACTTCATACTTGCAAATTATGGCAAACTTACCTACAAGAGTGACTCCCTCCAGCATTTACAGATTCAGGCTCATAGTTGCCAGTGCGCCACCCCATCATCTTTTCTGCTGCTTCTTCTAGGACCCCTCTTCCTCCCCTTGGCCCATGAGCAGCTACTGATGTTACCTCCTCTGCATGCACATGGAAGATGCATCATCGAGGGCACCCGGCACCAGAATGGCTGGGATTGTATGCTGCACCCAGGCATGTCCGGATTGACACGTATACCCGCCATTCCCCACTATTGTCTTGTGTAAAGTGTTACAGCCTTCTAGTTAGACACTTCAACCTCTCCTTTCCCTATTACTTTTTACCTTCTCCCTGTAAAAGGGGTTTAATTCATGTTATTGCAAGGCTTCCAGAAAGAATGTCTTTCCACCTCCAAACATAGAAAGAAAGTACATCCTTTATAATGTCAAGCCTGAATAAACTACAGTGGACTCTTCTCCAAGTCTTCTTGATAAGATGGACCCTTCCTGTCGATTCCACCATCTCAGCAGGTTGAGGTTGCCATACTATCCGCACAGACCTAGTGTCGGGAAGTACCGTATGTTCAATTGCAGAATCAGTATTTGAGACAGAACGCAAAGGATTAGGAGATCCTGTGAGGGCAGGGCGTCACCGCAGCACCAATCATTCACAGTAGAACGTTGTTAAAAGCACCGCTTCTGCTGGAGATCAGAAGAGGACCCAGCGCATCATGCGACCAGACTCAAGACTTTGAACATTTTACAAAACTAATTAAAATTAACTAACAAATACATTACACACAGGAAGGAGGGATTGGGTGCGCTAAGCTCAGAGATGGGTCCTAAACATTGGGAAAGGACCAGTAAAAGAAGGAAACATTCTGTGCAAGAGGTAAACCTAGCAGAGAGGAGTTCATATCAGTTCTAAAGATTGTCAGCCCACAGGCTCCAGCGACTAGAGATGAGAGGAACTGCAGCTACAGGTCTTGGTAACCTAAAGCTAGCAAAATTGATGACAAACATCATCCTCATCATCATCTCCTCCAATTCAACCATCATCCTCATCTCCTCCAATTCAACCATCATCCTCATCATCTTCTCCTCCAATTCAACCATCATCCTCATCATCATCTCCTCCAATTCAACCATCATCCTCATCATCATCTCCTCCAATTCAACCATCATCTCCTCCAATTCAAACACCATCCTCATCATCATCTCCTCCAATTCAAACACCATCATCACCTCCTCCAATCTTTTAACACGTCTTGAAACTTTTAACAACCTGTATTTTTAAAATACAAGTTGTGATTCTTTACAGATGCAGCAGAGTATCTGTAGGGGCATCACATACAAGGTGGCAGCAGAGTGTCTATACAGGGACAGCAGAGTGTATATATTTATACAGGGACAGCAGAGTGTCTATACAGGGACAGCAGAGTGTATATATTTATACAGGGACAGCACAGTGTCTATACAGGGACAGCAGAGTGTATATATTTATACAGGGACAGCACAGTGTCTATACAGGGACAGCAGAGTGTATATATTTATACAGGGACAGCAGAGTGTCTATACAGGGACAGCAGAGTGTATATATTTATACAGGGACAGCAGAGTGTCTATACAGGGACAGCAGAGTGTATATATTTATACAGGGACAGCAGAGTGTCTATACAGGGACAGCAGAGTGTATATATTTATACAGGGACAGCAGAGTGTCTATACAGGGACAGCAGAGTGTATATATTTATACAGGGACAGCAGAGTGTCTATACAGGGACAGCAGAGTGTATATATTTATGCAGGGACAGCAGAGTGTCTATACAGGGACAGCAGAGTGTATATATTTATACAGGGACAGCAGAGTGTCTATACAGGGACAGCAGAGTGTATATATTTATACAGGGACAGCAGAGTGTCTATACAGGGACAGCAGAGTGTATATATTTATACAGGGACAGCAGAGTGTCTATACAGGGACAGCAGAGTGTATATATTTATACAGGGACAGCAGAGTGTCTATACAGGGACAGCAGAGTGTATATATTTATACAGGGACAGCAGAGTGTCTATACAGGGACAGCAGAGTGTATATATTTATACAGGGACAGCAGAGTGTCTATACAGGGACAGCAGAGTGTATATATTTATACAGGGACAGCAGAGTGTCTATACAGGGACAGCAGAGTGTATATATTTATACAGGGACAGCAGAGTGTCTATACAGGGACAGCAGAGTGTATATATTTATACAGGGACAGCACAGTGTCTATACAGGGACAGCAGAGTGTATATATTTATCCAGGGACAGCACAGTGTCTATACAGGGACAGCAGAGTGTATATATTTATACAGGGACAGCAGAGTGTCTATACAGGGACAGCAGAGTGTATATATTTATACAGGGACAGCAGAGTGTCTATACAGGGACAGCAGAGTGTCTATATTTATACAGGGACAGCAGAGTCTATACGGGGACAGCAGAGCATCCGCAAGGACAGCATAGTCTATACGGGGACAGCAGAGTGTATTTATTTATACAGGGACAGCAGAGTGTCTATACAGGGACAGCAGAGTGTATATATTTATATAGGGACAGCAGAGTGTCTATACAGGGACAGCAGAGTGTATCTGCAGGGACAGCAGAGTGTATCTGCAGGGACAGCAGAGCATCTGCAAGGACAGCATAGTCTATACGGGGACAGCAGAGCATCCGCAAGGACAGCATAGTCTATACGGGGACAGCAGAGCGTCTACGATGCGGGGACAGCAGAGCGTCTACGATGCGGGGACAGCAGAGCGTCTACGATGCGGGGACAGCAGAGCGTCTACGATGCGGGGACAGCAGAGCGTCTACGATGCGGGGACAGCAGAGCGTCTACGATGCGGGGACAGCAGAGCGTCTACGATGCGGGGACAGCAGAGCGTCTACGATGCGGGGACAGCAGAGCGTCTACGATGCGGGGACAGCAGAGCGTCTACGATGCGGGGACAGCAGAGCGTCTACGATGCGGGGACAGCAGAGCGTCTACGATACGGGGACAGCAGAGCATCTATAATACGGGGACAGCATAGTGTCTATAATACGGGGACAGCAGAGTGTCTATAATACGGGGACAGCATAGTGTCTATAATAAGGGGACAGCAGAGTATCTATAATACAGGGGACAGCAGAGTATCTATAATACAGGGGACAGCAGAGTATCTATAATACAGGGGACAGCAGAGTATCTATAATACAGGGGACAGCAGAGTATCTATAATACAGGGGACAGCAGAGTATCTATAATACAGGGACAGCAGAGTATCTATAATACAGGGACAGCAGAGTATCTATAATACAAGGGGCAGCAGAGTATCTAGAATACAGGGGCAGCAGAGTATCTAGAATACAGGGGCAGCAGAGTATCTAGAATACAGGGGCAGAATACCGTAGTATGTAGAAGAGTGACTGACACCTCTGCTGAGTGTGGGAGTTCCTGGCAGGGTCTGGTGTACAGCCCACACAGTTTCCAGGCTCAGCCTATTACAATCACCATAGTGTTGCAGGGAAAGCTTAAACTCTTCCATGTATGGAGAACAATGTCACAACACGCACACACCCTGGGCACAGCAGCAGCAGCCAGCCTTGTGCTTGCAGTGACTAGACCCGGTATTCTCTCTCCCCGTACAATGTGGACAAAGTCACTTCCTAGCAGTCCTCACCCCCATTACAGTGACAGGCCGCTAACTACGTCACGGGTCGGTGACAGAACTCCTGAGCAGGCAGGTGAAACACTCCCGTCACTCCCACCATATACTGAGCTCCCCCCCAGCCCCGGCTCAACCTCGCCGCTTCCATTTACCAGCCTCGATGATCGCGTAGTCCGGGTTGCTGTGTATACGGCGGCCGGAGCGGGACGCACCGAGTAAAACGCGTTGCAGCTTCGCAGCCGCAACCTAGGCTGCGCTGTGTACTGGGGCTGGCGGGTCAAGGCCAATGGAGAGGGAGGAGCTGCTGGTGCTGCCATCTGCTGGATCCCCGAATGCTGACACCTGTGAGCCGTACAGCGATGGAGCGGACAGACGTGTGCCATTTATCCATAGGTCATAGACCGACTGCGGGCATCGCTTAACCTCTTCGTGTCTGCAAGCCTGCAGCTTTTCACACCATTGTTGTGCAGGAGATGGGTTTTGTTTTGTTTTTTATTTATTTGCACCATTACATCACTGTGAAATGTCAGTGTTCTCTAGAGAAGCCTTTCTCAACCTTATTTTAGCCATGGCACCATAGAAAAGTATGCAAAATCTCCAAGTACCCCCAATTAATAATAGAAAAACCATATAGAAAAAAAATGACGTGTGGCCCCTCGAAAATGTAAGATCCTTATCACAGAGAGGGCTCTGGTATGAATTTTAAGGGGGGCTCCACGCAAAAACATAAGGATCAACACCTCACATTCACAACAGAATTCCCTTTATATGAGGATCCCCCTTCACATCAGTACCCTCCTTTACATCAGGAATCCCCTTCACATCAGTATCCCTTTTCACATCAGGATCCCTCTTTACATTGGGATTCCCTTCACATCAGTATCCCCTTTACATCAAGATTCCTTTTCACATCAGTATCCCCCTTTACACCAGGATCCCCCTTTACACCAGGATTCCTTTTCACATCAGGATCCCCCTTTAAACCAGGATTCCTTTTCACATCAGGATCCCCCTTTACACCAGGATTCCTTTTCACATCAGGATCCCCCTTTAAACCAGGATTCCTTTTCACATCGGGATCCCCTGTCACATCAGTATCCCCCTTTACACCAGGATTCCTTTTCACATCAGAATCCCCCTTTAAACCAGGATTCCTTTTCACATCGGGATCCCCTGTCACATCAGGATCCCCCTTTACATCAGGAGTCCCCTTCACATCAGGATCCCCCTTTACACCAGGATTCCTTTTCACATCAGGATCCCCCTTTACATCAGGAGTCCCCTTCACATCAGTATCCCCCTTTACATCGGGATCCCCCTTTCACATCGGGATCCCCCCTTCACATCAGGATCCCCCTTCACATCAGGATTCCTTTTCACATCGGGTTCCCCCTTCACATCACAATTCCTTTTCACATCAGGATACCACTTTACATCAGGATTCCCCTTCACATCACAATCCCCCTTCACAATGTGATCTAGACATTTAAGATTTGTTTCGTTCTAAATTAGAATTCGGACAAACGGCATAAAAGTCAAAAATATTCAGAAAAAATTTCCGATGCATTGGAAGCTTCGTTATCCAAAATTTACATTCGTTCAGTTTCTTTTCTTCTTTCACTCCGGAAATTCGGATGCATTCCAATGTCCGGATATGACAATATTCATCTGAGTTTCAGTTCGGAACAACACAAATCTTACATGTCTAGAGACAATGAATTGGCGGGGAACGGAAGACAAGTATCCAGTCTCTTCTTTAGCGCCCATTCAACATTTCCCAACCAACGCGCAACATGAAGTTCCCCATTATTATCACTGGTGCCCGGTCACCCCAGAGTATTGTGTCGCCTGTCAAGGACATGAGCTGTTTTTTGGGGGGGGGCATTATTTCATGTCTTTGGCTCTTAGAAGTCAATAGGAGTGCTTGGAAAACTCACATAACACACGTATTCAATGCAATTTCACAACAAACATCTCCTCCTCCTCCTAGTAACTAACTTTCCATTGGCTTAAACACTGACGCTCAATCCTAAAAAAAAACTCAAAATCAACTGCGAACAGTCAAGTGTGAATGGTGGCTTACATGTATTTGTGTCTCTGAATGACTAATTAGGACAGGGTCTCTTTAAATAAGTTAAAGAACTCCGGGAATTTAAGAAAAACTTACCCTTGCAGTGGGGCTACCCCCAAACTACATGGGTTTTCTAGGGAGCTCAAATAAAGCAGTTTTACTCAACTAATCCTCAGTCCCGCAGTGTTCAGCCCTGACCACTCAAGTGATCCTAGGTCCCTAAGCAGTCACTGATCAACTCTCTCCCCCTCTGTTCCAGCTCTGGAATATCCTGTTGGCGTCCTCACACCCAATGCAAGTCTCTGGATCACCAGAGCCCAGGGGAAAAGACCTGCAGGGGTCAGTCTAGCAGCCCAGCGGATTAGGTGAGTATATCTGCTTTGTGCCCCTGGATCAAAAAGAGCACTTAACCCTTGCAGTGCAGGGGTAGCCCCACTGCTAGGGTAAGTTTTTTTCAATTCCTGGAGTTCTTTAATGCATACCCCCGTCGCCTTGTACTTACTTTAGAGCAGCAAAGAGCTACGATCTACACTAGCTGAGTGCTTCTTTAGGCCTTAAGCTGGCCATACACTAATATTTTCTTTGTTCAACTCGCAGGCTGAACAAAGAAAATGTAACAGATTCCACCATCAACATTTACGGGCATTGATCAAGGAATCTCCCGCTGTCCTCGTATTCTGACAGTGGCTGCCGGCCGCTGTCAGAATTCCCAGAGCTGGCAGCTGATTGGCTGCCTGCTCTGTTCATTAGAAGTTTTTCTGACTGTCCCCAATGATCAGCTGATGGAGGGATGCCAACCAAAAGGGTGCAACCAGCGGCACCCACTGTGAGATTTTCAGCCGGTTCATCAAGAGCCATCCGCAATTTGCATAGTGTATGGCCAGCTTTAGGTGGCAGGGCCTGTGTTATTGTGCATGTGAGGCCTATTCTCAATGGGTTTATGGACACTAGGCAGCACAAGGACATTGGAGCAGAGGAGATTTAAAATGTAAGTTTCGGGATGTGCTACGAAAAAATAGAGATGACTACAAACACAAGGCATTGAACATGATTTCGTTATTTTTAATATTGGGTTTAGTGACACTTTACCTTTATTAAACAGGAAATAATGGAGGGAAAGGAGGAATGGATGACTTCTGTGGTTTGGACAATTTCACAATAGAAAGCATTCTCTGGGATTACAGAAAGTCCCGACATATGCATGCTGGATAGATGTTCAGAGGGCATTTCAACACAATTCTGCTGGAGTGTTTGTAAAGCATTGTTGCCCAGTAACACCTGGGAAATGGTGAAAGTATTCCCGTTTTTTACATTAAAAGGGTTTCTAAACCCTTAGGTTTTCTTTTGCATACATCTACTGCTAGCAAGTCATTTGTTTTCCATGTTATATACTCAATCATATGCCAGCTAATAAGAAAATAATGATTAGTTGGTAGACCGGAACACAGCTTCATTTTATTTTCAAAGCTCCGTGAACCGCTTCAATTTAATAAGTCATCCTCTGTATCTTCCAAACACCTGAGAAATGCTGCCCTATGCCTTTCCATGGCAAGACCTGGCCTCACTACGTAGGAAACATGCCCATTTATCCAAGATGCCTGAAATGGGACCACTAAGAACATTTCCAATAGTGTACTGCTTTGGCAGATGCGTTACATTTTAATGTGATAGTGCCCCATATAAATAGACATTATTTGCAGCTAAGGACATTGTGCTGTTTTGTCAACTGAGCAATTCTGATCAGACATCTCCGGTTGACAGTAAGATGATACGGCCATCTTCAGCTAAATTACGTATTTTTATAAGGCAGTTCTTGTATTCCAATTTCAGCCTTTGTACCCATCCTATTAATACTTTGACTTATTAAAATGATCAGATTGTCAATTTCTAGCTTTCTTTGGTCCACGTTCCATAAAGGGTTATTAAACCCTCAGCGGTTTTTGCATCTATCTACTGCTAGCAAGCAGTAAATAGATGCAAAAACATTGGGGGGAAAAAAAAAAAAAAAACTTTTCAAAACAGGTTTAAGCTTGCCTGTGTCTTCACCGCGTGCTCCCGTCCGAACATCTGAAGAATTTTGGGCGGCCGCAAAGGATCTTAGGGTGGGCGCATGCACACTTCAGATGTTCGGCCAGGAGACAAGGAGAGACACAAGGTAAGTCTATGGAGCAGCGTGCACACGCACAGACACCGTGGGACGTCAGAGGAGTCAGCGCTGGATCGGAGACCCGCACCAGCACCGGAGGGGACAGCTGGAAATGACAGTGAAGATGATCGAATAAAGAGGCATCATTTAAGATAAGTCCCTACAGCAGGATTGGGAAGGGGGGAAAAAATTCTGACTTTAATAGCTCATAGAAAGACATGTTTCTGGTGTTTACAATATATGGACAATACACCTTTGAGCATAAACAATATTCCTCCCCACAGTAACATTAGGTGGTGGCATGAAGCTATTTATGCCTGTGACCTGTTTGATGACTATACTTCTTACAGCAGCTCAGTGATTCATCCACTGATGTAATGTGCTTAGAAATATACTATTTTACTGGCTTGCTGCTATGATGTTGTAATCACAAACCCTGATTTACCAAAGAGTAATTACCAAGAACTGAAGCTATGCTACCTCTAACACCAATCAGATATAAACCTACCTGAACCCGATTGGTGACTGTAGGGAACAGATATTATTATTATACAGGATTTATATAGCGCCAACAGTTTGTGCATCGCTTTACAGGGTTAAGCAAGAACACTTTGATACGCCGCACTCTGTCATCTGTTCACAGTAACTGCTGCTTCATAAGCACCATTCCATTATTGTTATTTGTCCTAATTATTCTATGAAAATTGAATCAAAGCAGAAACAGTAGTGACACAATTATACAGTATGAGGACAACCTGGGCAAGGAGCTGTGATATGCAGGTGAAAGAAATGGGGGATCCCCAAGAGCGGGGAAACCAAAGTGATCCATACCTAAGAAATTCAAAATATTCCCAGGGAGTGTGGAACCCAGAGCTACTGTGATACATTAACATCACACAGTGGTCCTAAGTCTCACAGCAATCTTTATGGAGTGCAATTTATATATAACTGTCATCATTTTTAATTAGTCCCATATCTTTAAATAACTTCCCCATAATACCAAGGAGGCTATAAGGTGAGCAAATCCTATAAAATGATGACGTCCATACATAACCCTTTACAGTCATCTCTTGCAAACAGACTCAATTTACTGTTGTGGTTGCACTGTGTAAATGCCATAAGAATACAGACATTGATGTATATTTAATAAATACTTGTTAGAGTCCCACTTTATTGCATTCGTAAGACCGGGTGTACAGCAGGAATTAAATTCTACCAATCTATTTGAAGATATAGTTTTTGACTTCAGCAGGTGCTTTAGCAGGATCCCCACCACGCTCCAAGTACAGGTTGTTGTATGGATACTGCTTGGGAGCCTGAAATGAGACATAATGACATCTTTAGTTCAAAAAATGTTAAAAAACACACACACACACACACACACACAGTGGGGTAGTGGTTAGCACTTGGGGTCCCTGGTTCAAATCCTGGTTAGCTCACTATCTCCGAGGAGTTTGCATGTTCTCCCTGTGCTTTCGTGGGTTTCCTCCGGGTACTAAATTCACGCTTACGGGCGTAAAATTGTTGACGCTATATAAATAACAGCCTTGCTCTCGGAAGTCCTTTTCTGAACGTTTTATTTCCAGTTCAATGATTAACAGTACTAAGAGCAGAATCATAGCCAGGCAACTAGCTTTCTCAAGGCCAGCGCCTGATAGTGGTAATAGGCCTTTAGCGTGTTGGCTTGCAATAGTAATTATTCTTTAATTTAAAATATATTTTATTTTTTTACAGTCCATCATTTAAGGTAAGTGCTTACACTAGCATTAGGGGGAGGGGAAAAAAAAACTTATCCTTTAATGTCACTTTAACTTTATTGCTATCAGGTGTGATACTACAGAGTAAGTGACAGGTGCTCTTTACAGAGACCTACTGTATGTCACCTATGGACCCCACAAAAGCTCAATAAGCCTGAACCAAAAAGTGACAAAATCATTGTCGCTTCTAGGTTCCCTCCAGTGCAGCTAGAGAGACCCGCTATACCCAGGTCCGCACGAAGAGTAACAGAGCCGGCAGCCATGGCACAAAGGGAAGGGGGGAGTCACACTTTTCAGCAGCACACAAGTGATTTGGTGCCACTACAGTATTGGAAAGCCGGCTGCCAACAATATCAGTGTATATTGTGTGTTGTGTGTTGTGTGTTGTGTATCTATATTTACACACATAGTATATGTACCTGGGAACTAAAGTTGTTAACTACATACAATATTATGTACAATATAAATAAATATGCAATACGTACAATAGGCTGATACGATGGAAACTTTTCTCCAAGGTAGAACAAAAATCCCATAACGGCAAAGAACCCAAAGACCAATTTAACCATCCAATCAAAGGGCACATTACATGGCGAAGTATCAACTCGGTTCCGGAGGTACTTATCAAAGTCCCAGTGCAACTAAAAATATATAAAAACAAAACGAAAATAGATTATAAACACAGTATATCACCTGCACAACGTTTTAAGTCAGTATATGTAGAGTTTCATTTCAGTGTTTTTCCATAAGCCAGCATTGACAATGTGACATTTCTATCCGAATAATAAAAAACGTAAAAAAAAAAAAAAAAGGAAGCACCTCAAAGTGGTCCTGTGCTTTGTCCCTCAGAGAGATAACATTTACATGGTTAAGAAATATTTTTTTCAGTCAGGTAAATATGAAAAATAGCATTTTAATGGTTAGCATTCTCTATTTTAACCAGTAGGTGAAATACACACACACACACACACAGTAAAATGTTTATTTTTTTTTAATATTTGAGGTGCACCGAAATTAAATTTTGCAACCAAAAATAAAAATAAAAAGGTCAGACCAAAACCGCAAAAAAAATTCTAACCATTGTAACTTTTTTTGAAATATTTTAATTTTTTTTATACTGTATTTTTATTAAATATTTGTTTTCTTAACTTTACTGCTGGGGACTGCGGTGAAATATCAGGGGTCTAAAAAGACCCCTATTTCCCTTTTTGAAAAAGAGATTGAGGACAGAGAGTGCTCAGTCATACCATAAAGAGTGCGTTCGGCCGCTGGAACGCAACCCGGCCAGTTCACTTTGTTTTGGGGCTGGAGGGGGTGTGATGGTGCATTGAAGTCAATGGCACCGCACCCCTCCTCCCTGTAGTACGATCGCTGGCACCCAAACATGTGGTCCAGTGCGATCTGCAAAAAAATAGTGCATGCAGCATTTTTTTGCAGATCGCACTGAACCAGAACGCAGGCACTATTGTGCCATGCGTTCGGGTGCCGGCGATTGCACTGAAGGCGTGGCGGCGGTGCCATTGACTTCAATGCACCGCCACTACCCCTCCAGCCGAAAAACAAAGTGAGCTGGACGGGTTGCATTCCAGTGGCGGAACGCACTCTTTATGGTGTGAGTGGGCCCTCATTCTCTTTTTCTGCATTGCCTGTTATAAATGAACAAGAATCCTCTATACGGAGTGTTCCTGTTCATTCATAACTTGTGGTGATAGCAACCTATACTATGTATACAATCATGAATGAATAGGAAGTGATATAGATCACTTCCTATTCATTTATAAGTGGTACATAGTTTAACTCCCCGCTGGGCGCTGCGCAGTGTCAGAGGGGACATAGAGCAGCGCCCAGCGGGGAGGAGAGCATCTAGGAATGCACCGCAATTTTGGCCGAAAGATGGCACATTCAGCATTTTGCCCAAAGTACCATTTTCGGCGCCTGAAATTTCGGTGGAATGTGTCAGAGGGGATTAACAGATCTTTAGCACAAAAAGTTGGTCAACGAATTTTCAAACAAATACAGGCTGGCACATCTTATATGATTAATTTACCTAGAAACATTTATCTTAGCCCAGAAGTGCGGATCATTCTGCCAGCTGCTGCTCTTTTTCACCACTAGCAAGGTCTGCCCCCCCCCCAGCCAACCCTATATGTATACATTGCAAGGCATCATGCATGGGAAACTGGCAGATTGTAATATGTTTACATTCTGCTGCCAACCGCGGAGTCTAGCCGCCGCTGACTGGCCGGCAGCAAGGTTAACACTAAGAATTTCCTTAGCAACTAAATGCATTTAGTTGCCAACAAAATTTTTTTAGCGTGCATCAAGCAAAACTATTTTTTAGTGTGAATCGAAGGCAAAAAAAAAATAAAAGAACAAACAAAATCGAGGACATAATATATCCTCAATTTTTTTTATCGGTTGCTTGAGAATTAAGGTTACTTGAATGCCGGATAATGGGGAGTTTACTGTAATGGTTTCTTATGGTGCCCATACACTTTACAATTATCTGCAGATTTTCTGTGGTCAGATGGAACAAGTGCAACGAATTGGCCAAGGTGGAGATTACTTCATCCACACAGTTAAGTGTAGATGGAGGAATCTGTTGCACCTTTTCCATCTGACCATAGAAAATCTGCAGATAATTGTAAGGTGTATGGCCAGCTTTAGAGTGACTGGCAGACATGACAAACAGTGAAAGCTGAAGGTTGTGGGCAGGAGGTCAACCTACTATATTGAAGAATGACATAGTACCCTAGGTTGCAGGACTCTTTAGGCCCCGTTCACATATAGCGACATACCTTTTGCAGCGGATCCGCACGGCCGGGATAGCGCGACTTTCGGGGCGACGTTCCAGCGACGATCCAGCGACGGTAGCGCGACCTTCCCCGTCGGGCTCCATAGAAAAAAAGCAAAATCGCGCAAAATCCGCCGAAAAAAGGGTCCGGTAGAAGCGACTTGCGACCGCGACGAGCGACGCGCGACATGGAGTTAAGACAGCTCCATTGAATAACATTGGCCGGCGACTTCTCGCGATATCGCGCGGCAAAAATGCGCGATATCACGGCGGAAATCGCGCGACAATTCGCTATATGTGAACGGGGCCTTAGCATCTAAGCATACATACAGGAGCAGGTGACAGAACAGGTTTACTTTAACTGCTGGTATGCCAGTATGATTAAAAAATATATAGATCTATCTATAGATATCTATATCTGCTTCATCCAGTCTTGCAAACAACTCCTTACCGTCTCTCCCCAGTTTCTCCTAAAATCAGAATGGTCCCATGTGTACCATGGGTCTCTTTCTTCCTGAGACTTTTCAGGAAGCATTGGATAGTCTCCAAAGCTGGAAAATAATACGTAAATAATCAGTCTTACATGGAGGCATTTATTAATTTGACAACATTGCCAAAATATCAAAGCATCAAAAAAAAAAAACAAAAAAAACACACAGCTAAATTATAAACATTTTAAAAGGTTAGGGTTTAGATAAGTTAAATACTCTTCAAATACACAAATATATTTTATGGGATGCTTTTAACAGTCGTGTCACAGAAAAGAACAGGGTTCTGAGAAAGTGATACAACCATTCAGTGGACATGGGCCTCTTGCGATAAGCCCCCATTCACACATTTTAACTGCTTCCCGTCTGCCGGCCGTTTAAAAACGGCCAGACGGGAGTGTTCTAGACGCGGGTGGGCATCTAAAACGTCCTTCCCCGCACCCCCTTGTGCGTGCCGTGTCGTGCAGGTAGCAGGGCTAAATGTAGAGAGGGAGCAGTTTTGTACAGGTGATCTCGAGCAGCTGTACAGCCCCCCAAGATCACTTGTAAGCAACCTGATTGTCCCTCCCCGAACACTGCCTCTCTCTCTGTCTGTCACTGCCCGCTTCCTCCATCCCCGCCGTGGTTTTTGGTGTCCCCCGCCCTTCTGGGGGACCCGGGGGCCACAACAAGTTTCTTCAGGATGGAGAGCAGAGCTGAGAACAGACGTTCTCTGCTCTGTGTGAGCACTGACACAGGAACGCTGCATTCGCAGTCTGTCACAGGAGAACGAGCAAAGTGCTGTGCTACTCCTGTATTGGAGGTGACAGATTCCATAAAGAGAACCTGTCGCCTCTAAATGCCATATGCACGATATTCTAATTATTCGAGTTTCACCTGTATGTGTATGGAGACGCAGGAACTGTGCACCCTCATGCTGCTTTCCACAGCCGCGCACAGACGGTGTAAGTCCTCGGATGCAGACATGATGGATTCAGGTCCGTACACGGCCTGTGAGCAGCTGTCAAAACTTGGTGCTGCGGGAAGCAGTGTGAGGATGCACAGCTCCTGCATCGCCATAGAGTTGAATGAGCTGCCCACACGCATCTTCCCGCAGCTCCAGACCGGACCCTGTACAGGGCAACACGCCCCGTGTGAATGAGGCCAAAGGATAAGCTAAAATGAATTGCACTTGTGTAGACCAAGTTAAAGCTCACCCCATTCCTTCATCTGGGTAGGGTTTATAGTCCGCCAATGGCAAATTATATTTCTTGGCAGCAGCTGCCATTTCTTCTGGTGTCTTGGGATAAGGTCCAGGCATAAGATGAGAGGGAAGATCATGAGCTGAAGCAAAAAGCAGAACAAGTGTTAGGATTTAAACAAACCAAATATACATCCAGAGGCATTAGGGTATTGCTGTTGTAAACACTACAAACTTTACCTTATTCTGGGTCTCAGACTATTCTATGATTTAGCAAGAATATAGGCGCTAATTAAGATGAAACATTAAAGTGACACTAAACATAGGAGGTCAATCTAAGCCCTCGTTCACACCTGAACGTTTTGCAGCGCGTTCTACACTCGACGAACGCTCAAAAATATAAATCCCATTGTATTCAATGGTCTCGTACCCACCTTGGCGTATTTCCGCCCGTCCCTAACGCGCTACAAAACGGCCCACGCCTGAAAAGGTACAGGTACTACTTTGGGCCGTTTTGTTGCGTGTTTCCATTGGGATACAGCCAAGTAGTCTTCGGAAACGCGTGTTTGTCGCGCGACTTTTACCACGAATCGCGGTAAAAGACGCGCATATGCAATACGCCTAGGTGTGAACGAGACCTTAAAAATACATTCAAGAACCTTAACTATTATTAAAAATGTATCTTATTTGTGTATCACTCGGCTGTAGATCCTCAAAATCATCTCTGAATTTGTGCTGACACTGTCCTTCCTTCTGGAGGGGGGCTGCTTTTGTTCCCCATGGTCCCTGTGTGTATTGTAAAGTAGACACCGCTCCAAGCGTGCTCCCATGATGGACTACAATCTCAATATAACCTATATAACTAAACATGAGATTGTAGTCCATCATGGGAGCACGCTTGGAGCGGTGTCTACTTTACAATACACACAGGGACCATGGGGAACAAAAGCAGCCCCCCTCCAGAAGGAAGGACAGTATCAGCACAAATTCAGAGATGATTTGAGGATCTACAGCTGACTGATACACACGGTTCAGTATTGTTAAAGGAGAACTATGAGATGAGTGATTTCCACTCACCTCATAGTTCTAGCCGACCTGTGACAATGAGACTATCACAAATCAGCTCAGTAGATCGGGGGAGGGGCTGGATTCCCTCTCCCCGCTCCGATCTGCCAGCGCTGACTGGCGGAACAGACGGGGGAGGGGGCGGGTACAGCTGGCTCTGCCTCTAGATAGGCAGAGCCAGCTGTCACTCACACAGCTGGGCAGATCCCGCCAGCTACGTCGGGATCCGCTCCGGCTGTAGCTCGCGGTATACTGAGCTTAGGGTAACGGGAGGACGCTGGTTTGTGTCCTCCCGTTACCCTAAGGAGAACTATGGGGAAAA